TTTCATAACATTCAAGAAGTGGCAAAGCTATGTGGTATGGCTACACCAACAATAGATTTTGTACTAATTACAACCTTCTATGTGATCCATGGTCCATTAAATCATGTATGGGATGGGATGTTGCTATGAGATTTGTATGAGTGGGGGTGGAAGATTTATAGTTGGTAGAAGGCTAGGAAAAAGGCTGACTAGTTTAGATTTTTTTAATAAATTACGGTTGAAACTATATTGCAATAGATATCTAAGTTTTCTTTGATGAAAAAGAATAAGGACCTCCAAATCATACGTTTGGGATGCTAGCCAATCAATTGAGATGGGTTTTAGTTAATTAGATATGTAATTAGGAAGGCCTGAATTTTTTTGAATTAATCACAACAAGGGGACAATACGAGTTAGGATTTTATAAAAAGATTGTCTTGACTTTTGTGAGGTTTGAAGTGGATTAAAACTTTGGGAAGGTATAGGATTTAGGGGAATAAGAAACAAGAAAAAAAATGATAAGTTAGGATTCATAAATCTTAATTGTGATTTTTTCACAAATCAATTTACAAGCTAGAAGTTCTAACACCTCATAGACATAATTTTTTATAAGATGTAAAAGTTATTTTTTATTGCATAAATAGCGATATAAATAATAATATAAAGAGTTGTGAGAAAGCAAAGGAACTCATAAAGAAACACGTCAAAATTTCTTTCTTGAACATTTATCTCTATGCTATAAAGCCACCTCTCTCAATATCTCACTTTACTTGGGAATAAATAAAAGTATTTCAATTCAACAACACCAACAACAACAAGCCTTTATCCCACTGAGTGGGTTTGGCTACATGAATCATTTTTCTCCAATTCAAAGGATCTATTTATGATTTGATTATTTCTCTTGAATTTTAAATTTATACTGATTTAATTGGCGCCATCATATTTTTTTTCATAATCAAAATATTCAATAAATCTCACACGGTCAGCCCTCATATTTTAAAAAATAATAATAAAGCAATAATCAAGCAAAATAAATATGAAATAAAATTATCTATCATGATAAAGAACTTTGAAATTGATCTAGTGTCATGCTTGTCTTGAATCAACTATCCTTTATTTAACAAAATTTGCTCTGCAGAGTTAAAATGTTGTAGTGAAGTGAGAAAAATAGTTCATGGCTTTGTATAGTTGGTGGAATATTTTTAGCTTCAAGTGCATTGAGTAGTACAATGTCTGTAACTATTAAGATAGCTAGTAATAATAGCTTCAAGAATTAATAGATATCTTCCATAAGTGATTACGTTGGGATATCCCACTAGTTGATAAACCTTTTGATTGAAAGATGTTATAGGAAATAAAAATACAAGTAAAGAGTATGTCTAGAGAAAAAATCAAAGAAAAAGCAATATGTTCAAGGGCACTACCCATGATGTAGTATTTTGTGGATACATTGTTAGATATTTTAGTGCGTTTTAAAGCATAATTATTATTGTTATACTCCCAAGATGAATATATATTGAAAAATGGTTTCATAAATATTATCATTGCTTACGAGAATTCATTGCAATGCATATGAATAAATGCTATGCCAATGAAGTGTGTGGCCTCGGATTGACCTTTCGATAGGAGCTAAATAATATGTTTATTAATGGGAAAGCATTAGGTATGTGATGCATGTTAAATTATACCCATAAAAAATGGGAGGGAGGTTGTTCCTTTAAATGTTATATTAGGAGCACGCTTCTTAAAAAGTATGATTTTGACATGAGAAGGCCAATAGTTAAAGGAACAATTGCATCTTTGTCTTTACAATTCACATGAATTAGATGATGTCCTTTAAAGTTGGACACATTGTTTTGGTTTTAAGATAGTGATACTTGTAGTTTTTGTTATTCAATAATAGTATGGACTTATGACAAAATCATGACTCCGTAGAGCAATAGGATGTATGTTTATTCTTCAAAAAAAACACAAACGCATAACCAAGCACAATAAATAGAAAGTGAAACCTCTTTCATTTGTTTGAAGTAGAGAGCAGCAAAATCAAAAACTCTCTAAATAAACCCTGAAATCCCAAGTGCTCAATCCTAAGATCAGGTGATCTAACAGTCACAAGGGTGAAGTTAGTAATGCCCTCCCAAGCAGTAGGGGATAAAATCACCATCAATTTAAGCTTTGTAATCTTCTTCTAAATTATCTTTGACTAAATCCCAAAATGGAGTTTACGAGGAATAGTATGAACTTGCTTGTATGTTGGATTTTTTGGAAATAGTTTTATGTTATTTTTTTTATGCTTGAAAATTTATATATTTTTTATCATAATATATTATATTGAGATCATAAAACATCAACATGCCCAATAGAATGTCTTGTGTCCATGAATAGAATATCACACCAAATGTGATCTTTATAACTACCCATTTTAATGGGTAGTAGGCACTAGATGTAATAAGCAATAAAGTGTGTTTTACCCAACTCATATGGAATAGCTTAGATTGGGATTCTAGTTTTATATTTAAACACACACTTGTATGTGAGCATATGACATTCATTGCACTACCCCAAACTATAGCTCACCATCATGCTCCACCCCTATGCCCACTCGACATTCAACTAGACTTCATCATCTCTCCCTTTAAATAAAAAACTTTATAATTTGTAGTATTTCAAACATGGCTACAATGCTAAAATAATGCTTCAAAATAAGGTGCAAGTATCATAAAATGTTATAAAGTATCACAACCACATATAATACATCGCATTACACTCCTCTATGATGCTCTACATTTTTACATCGTACGGGATTATATATCTTCTAACATTGTCGTATTATGGGAAAGTCTAATAGTCGAGGAGGACCTTGAATTTGGGCAAACTGACCAATGATATTCATTTTTGACGTGAACGTCGTTTTTTGACCGAAAAGTGTGGACAATAGATCATATAGTATACTAACTTGCTAAACATTTATATGTATCAATCGATACATATGTCAAATAAACATATCTCATGGACCTATAAAAAGGTCATTTAAAATAGGCAATGAATTCATTAAAATTGCATCTATGAATAAACCAAAAACAAGCCCCGTTCAGGACTAATTCTTATAATAATATTCTCTATGGAATCCACTTATGCCTTATTTTTTTCCAATCATTTATGCATATTAAATAAAAAGGAATATTCAGGTGTGGAAATATATCAGTGTACACATATCTTATAGGTTAGTATCAATTGTAATTTGTACAATCTAATATGGACTCATAAGAACAATCTTAGCAATGCATTGGTATAATAGGCCCTTGAAAGTAATTAACTCCCATTTCTTCAAAATAGCATAAAAATGATTTTATTGAATATGATCAAGTTCTATCATCAATTTTCATCCACTTCAAATGAATTCCACTAAGGGCCTTCCCCTTAACAATTGGTCAAATGAATCTTGATTTCTTAGCATGATTTCAAATGTCAAGTGTTAAATCCACCATGATGGCCCTCTTGTAATCCTTAAAGGCCTATTAACATTCTATGATCTAAGGAAATGGATTAGTTTTGCACCAAAGTGAACAACTTTTTAGTGTCTCACGGGTAAATTATGTCAGAGCCTCCTTTTCTTCATGACGATAGAAAGGTAGCACTTTATTAGAAATAGTGAAAGTACAAGAGTCAAGGTTGAATGTTAAAAAAAGTGTTTTTGCCAAAATTTTCTAGTTATTCCATATTGACCCCAATAAGATTCTATTCAAGTTAGATCATCAAATCAAAGGGTTTATATGGGATTAGTTTGGTTTTTTCTTTTCTCTTGTTTTTAAAAGCATGTTCATTTTTTAGTCTGTTTTTTACATGATTTTATTTTTTGTTCCTAAGAATAAATTAACATGTTTTTTTAAAACACCCTAAATAACTTTTAGATATTTTGAGTATTTTAAAAAACAATCATATCTTAATCAAATATGTCAAAAATATTTTGTTTCAAATCAAAATATAAATAAAATAATATAAAATAAAAAATTAAAAACATAAATAATCTCAACTGGCCCCTAAGTTGAATTTAAGTTAGTATTGAGTTGGAAGATCATGGCATTTCACTTGTGTTCCAGCTCTTTTAGTAATTATTTGATTTTAGTCAAGATAGATTTGATATATCCTACATTTAAAAACATTGCAATGCGTCATAGGTCCATTTCTCTTCATTTCACATTAAGAATTAAAATATCTTTCTCTTTTAAAATTGACTTAATTTTCTTCATTCATTCATTCATTCATTCAACATCGACCATCTGATGATCTGATTAGGAGACTGGATGTTTTATATTCGACTTATGTTAAGATAGGCAGAGGTATACCTAGAAAGAATTGGGCATATTCTATAAAAAATTATCTTAATTTATTAGAATTAAATGAAAATATGACAGTCAATAGAACGCAATAGAGGAAAATGATTCATGTAGCCGACCCACTTAGAGGGATAGAGGTTTGTTGTTGTTGTTGTTATATTCATTCATTCATTCATCTTCTAAAATTTTAGACGGTGTTTGGTTGCAACTCAAATTTACGATAAATAGGATTTATCAAATATGATAAATCTGAATTTACAAAATTTAGGATGTGATAGAGGAGCAGCGACGACGGAATAGATCCGCCTCGCAATCGGATAACTAAACCCAGATTTACGTCGTAAAAGAGAAAAAAGATGGAAGGTGCAAAAATTCGAAGCTTTAAATTTAATTTTTAATTATTTTTATGGTTGGCTGGATTTAAGTTAAATCCATAGCTAAATCCTGTTAATAGCATGCTCCCAAATACTGCTTTAGATTTTTAAGGGAGATTTCCTTAAGGTTTCATATTTGGTATTCATACCTCGGAATCCTCCTCATCCTTCCATTGTCACTTCTAGCTTTCCTACATTTAGCTTCTAAACAAAACTCTAATAAAAATCTATGTAATCTAGGGTTTGCAACTATCTCAAAATTGGAAGAGAATAGGGAAGAAAACCATAATTTCAGTTCCTATAATCATACCTAATTGTTTTTGGCTCAGATCTTATCGTCGAGCCCGTACTCGTTCTTGCACGAGTGCTTGAAAGTTAGATTTCAAATGGATAATCCCTTTCCATGCTCGTACGCTCTACTCAGTCTGCTCGTGCAGAACTTGCCCTCTCTCGGTGGTTAGCTCGCCTTCTCCTCGCACGGTTTCTCCCTCGTCCCACTCAAATTTTTATTTTCCTGTGTATCGTACCAAATAAAAAACAGCCACGTGGAATTTGGGTATTATTTATTTTAAAAACTCAATTTTTTGGCGTCCGACCCGACCCGAATCCTCCTTTTTTCCAAAAATTTAATGCATAAGGCCCTTTCCCGGTTTTCCCCCACTTTACTTTCGCATTTTAGGGTTTGAAGCTGCCGAAATAGATTGTTATGCCGACGAAGAGAACGACAACCCTGTCGGCACTATTTTTGGTGTGGAGTTTGTCCGTAAGAAGCTGTCGGTCATCGAAATTGAAATCCCGTTGCCCGCTTCGGAAGGACGTTAAAAAAATTTAGTTTTGAAAAAGATGAAGTCAAACTGACCCCATAATTTTCACAGTTTAAATGAAAAAGCGCTTTACCTCAAACCCTGTATCTATCCCGAAGGATGAACACAAGAATTGAGGGTGAGACTCGATCAAATAAACTAAAGAAAGTGATGACATCCGTTTGGTCTGCGAAACCAATATATTGGCCGACAAATTCCCCTATTTAATATAAGGAATTAAATAGGGTTTATATTGTGCTGGGTTCGGGAAAAGCTTCCTATAGGGGCAAGCCCCTATAGTTAATTACATCTTAGATAACTGAAGTTACCTAAGAATACTCTCGATAAAA